GCGGGGGCGGAGGACTGGCACGGGAGCGGCACGCGCGCAACGGGGACGATGTGGGGACAATGTAGAGGCTGTGATGGGAATGCCCGGAGCCAGGCACGAGGGGGGACAAAGTCTGGGGTACGGATGCAAAAACGCCAATGAAACATCAATGCCCAAAATTGAAGTATCCATTCTCAAAATTAAAACATAAATGCTAATAAAACATCGAAGTTTCTAAAACACGAAACTTAAAATAAAACCGTTGAAGTTCTCACGGGGAAGATATAATTTGAATGTGGCATCGTTTAATAATTTTTAATTGAGAATAAACTGAAGAAACAAACCAAAAAGTGATTCACGAAACTTGTATTATCTCATTCAATAATTTAAACCTAATATTGGTTTCTATATTGACAAAAATAAATTTTCTTCATTTTATAGCTTTTGTCATTTTGGAATATTTGAACTATTCAATTTATGGATATCTGAAAATTATTACAGAATTTTGTTATAATGAACATTTTTCATATATAAATTATCGACCATGTAAAACCCACAAGCACAAATCATTGACAGTAAAATACATAGGCATCAAAAACTCTATGTAAAAAAATATTGACGATCTTAAAGTCATCTATGTTTTGAAAAGATCCACATCAATGTCGTATCTATAGATTGGGGTAGGAGTGGGGGGGGGGAGCAGGAGGGACCGTTGCGCGGGCGGTGCGCGGGCGGTGCGCGGGCGGTGCGCGGGCGGTATGCAGGAGACGGTGTGCGGGCGGTGTGCGGGCGGTGTGCGGGCGGTGTGCGGGCGGTGTGCGGCGTCGGCGGGGTGGTGGCCAGGCACGTCCCACCACGAAGCCGGGAAACGTGTTAAAGGCGCCTAACGATCTTCATCTTTCGGTTGACGCATGCTAATTCAAAGCCATCTCTCTCTCGCTCCCCGGTAGGGGAAACCACTGCTCAATATTCCGAATCGTGAACCGCAGATGGTATCGCCGCCCAGCGGAACAAAAGCATGCTTGCTCGGCGGCGACGTGCGACGCCGCGGCATGGGACCGACATGACGCGAGGGTGGGCGATGCGCAAGTGGGTGCGGTGGCGTCTGGGTGGACGAAAAGGATGTCAGTATATTTGCTTCTATTAGAAACTAATAATACCGAGGCTTAATTTCATTACATTAGTTAATAACTTGAGCAATCACTTAATATGGGTTATATTTTTTTCTACAAATATTTCTAGATGAATACACTTTTAACCTGCGAAAATTGATATGTTCTTTCTTGGTGAAAATTTGCAATGGTCTGGGAAAACCACCTGATACTGTTAAAGATTGTTCTTGAGGTATTCAAACAAAATTGTTGCAAGAATGATATTTTTTAAATTTTGAAAAATTGAATAAATGCGATTGAAAAGTTGTTTCCTATTATCATAATATTTTCAAATGATAAGAAACGCTAAAGTATCAACAAAGAGTTTGAACGGTATCTGAAAAGGGAACAGGATTATTGTTAAGAGGGATGTAGGAAATATATCGTCCCGTTTTAAATTCTAATCTTATTTACAATAGTTCGTATTTGTAGGGTGAAAGACTGTAATTTTGGTTATAATGTATTGCTGTGGTTATAATGTATTGCTGCGCTCATCGACTCATCTTGTAAGGCAGTACGAGTACAAAACGCGTTCCAATTATCTTACTTATATTTTGTCTGCTCTCGGATTTACCCAATCTCAATTTTAATATTTTTAATGTTTCCTGACACAAAATATAAACAAACGTGATCATTGCACGTCGAAAGTACATCGTGATAATAGCTGAAGACTCAGAACTCAACGTACAGCGAGTTCTGCAAATTAGCTGGAATCGTGCGCGATTTAGCCTGCCTATAACTTTCTCCTGGAATATTATAAGGAAGAAACCATTTAGTCATTAAGGTTAATGAAAGAGAAAGGTTTTGAAGTGTGGTGTTTGAAGAAAAGTGATTATCATTAAACCACTAGGAATACACTACCTTGTTTCAAAAACTACCGTACAATACTGTACTGTTCTGTGCAAAACAATGCCGTGAAAAGTGTCCTCCACACTCTTCCATGTTTCTGTTTTAGATACATTAATATTCACAAAGTTTTCCTATTTTCTGTTTCTTCATTAACATTCACGCGTCAAAAATGTGAATACTAGCTGAGCATTATCATTAAAGTAGTAGTGCTACAACACCACATTATTAGTAAAGGTTCCAATTTTCGAAATCGGTCATCAGAGAATTCAATGAATATGAGCTCTGAGCTTTTTTATGAGCGTATTTACTCTCTCTGAGAAAAAAATAGAGTAATGAAAACAATTGGAGCCATATTTAAAAAATATGATAATGTCTATGAGGCCACGACATTTGCCAGATCGATCGGAAAATATCGATTTTGGAAAAAACACAGTCCAGGGTTTAGCTTCTATCAAAATGGGTGTATCTGTTCACTGACGAACAGATACACACATGTTGCAACAAACACATTTTTCATTACAAGATATGAAGTATCCACAAAACGTGGATGATTACACGACGTGAAAGAGGATACATATGGAAATAAAAATTATCCACATTTGAGGTATCAGAGAGTTGAAGAATTCGTCCGTTAAAAAATTGGTGTTTTTTCCAACAGAAATGCAAAACCTTCTTTGAACAATGTAAGCAGTGTCCGATAAAGTAAAATAATATCATACTTTTATCACATAATGATCACGGATTTCTGTCTCAATTTGTGCTTTTTGTACTCATTGAATTGCCTTCTGTTACACAATATTGGGATCTTTCGTGTCCTTGTATGTCACTGATTAATCATTTTTCGGTGCCAAATCAAAAGTATTTAGATAACACAGAAAAAACAGGTATTCTAAAATATTATTTCTTACAATTAAAACTGCAATGGCAATGAGTAAAAAATCATTAAGTTAAATTCTAAAATTCCTCTGTTACAAAAACACGAATTTAAAAGATATATTACTATAGTATATGAACATCAGAAAAAAATATCATTCCAGAAATATCCCCACAAAAACACCTTAGATTGACCCGCCCAATGAAATTACGCCGCTTTGTAAACATCCATAGTAACTCGAGTAACGGATCACTGAAACAACTGCAACGTACTAACAGAATAACGCAATCACGTTCTGTTGTGCAGAGTGAAAGAAATTCACTAACACGATATAACCATGTAACTTACTCTAGATGTCTCTGCAAAGGTGTTTCACATCGCCATAAACGTCCCTAGCAGAAGCGTTATGCATTCTAAGCGCTTGTCCGTCCACAACGCACGGTCTGTTGCCTCTCTTCGGAGGCCACCCCCGTCGCGACCACCCGCCACGCGCCCCTCATCCCTTCCCCCTTCACACCCCTCCC